GAACCCCCATGCTAAGACTGTAGCACTGTATGCCATCGGTAAACCAAGCTTCAAGTGGTCACCAGCTACGAGAAAGGGTTACGGCAATGTAAAACGACTCAAAATTTGATGACAACAGAAGTCACTGTGGGTTAACATTAATTGCTTCAGCTTTGGTGTATATTTCAATGTTTTCAATATATATGATAACGTCATGACGTGTAAATTGTTGTGATGATGTATTGTATGTGGTAGAACAGGACGACATAACCGACTAGTCATTTGTTCTGCAAAATTGTAAAATTTATGATAATAAGGCAATATTGGTATTTATTCATATGTATCTATACTGAACTATATTTATCGTACTCATGTTAGTGTTTGTGTTCCTTTAAACTGAGACGTGTCTTGGCGTAAGAAATAAACTGTAATTCTCATTAGACGGTTGTATCAACATTAGCGTAATTATGAGATGCGGAAACAACTCATTCATTCATGATAAAAGGTCGTTAGAATGTTGTTCATTAATGAGGCAATCGATGTCTATATTTCGTTTTTGAATAGTGTTTCAAATCATTTTGATCAGCGGCGAAACACAAATCGTGCGTGCCGCCATCTTGAATCCCGTTTAACTCGCACGTGAACTAATAACATTTCGGCAGTTCTATTTTTAATAAATCAATAAATTTAAACTTCTCGACTGCACTCGATCGCCAGGCATTACTGGGTACGTAATCAAACTAGTTTAACAATTAAACAATACTCGGGACTGAAATGTACCCCAAATACAAATACTCTGTAATATTAATTCATTTAGTTTATTTCCACATTTTTGGTTAACAAAGTAGTGCATTCACCTTACCGTCATAGTAACCACCGCTCAAGTCTTTCCCGTCAGGTGTAGAATCATTGACGGCACTGTCCCCTCTCCACGGAATGCGGTTGTTATCTGGCAGTACGCCGGAACGCTGAGCTTCGTAAAACAACAGTGACTTTCTCAGTACCTCGTCGTAGTCATAGTTACACGACGAATTGTCATCCTGGACAATCATACCTTCTTGGCAATAACAATAGTAGGACCCCACTGTGTTCGTACAATTTTGTTCGCAGGTAGCGTTACCCGTGGCACACTCATCAACATCTGTGCAAAGCGACATTGGTATTGTCATATTAAGGTGAGTACCTAATGGTTGCATGATCTCCATGTAATTAAATAGTTTAAAGAATTACTACTTTCATGATCATATTACCCAAACCTCTTACATTATTCCTTTCTATTCATTTTCTTCCTTAGATTGTGTGTAAGTGGTTTTACACTGGTAAAGCGTAGCGGCAAAAAGAATATATATATAGGGAATACTGTGAAATGTCGAAAAATGCTAGTGCCAAATTCTATGTAGAATATCGCACAATGGCGAAAAACTGGTTTTCAAAATATCTCGTTTAGCTAACCTAGCTATATAATGCATGGAATCTCTTCAATTATATCATTGTAGCATTGTTCACATGAAAAAAAAAATACATTGCGTATTACCTGTACAATTTACAAGATTCTCAGTCAATTCATAACCACTACGACATGAACACACCCAATTATCATCGATTCGATCACACATGTGTTCGCACGGACAAGCTGCAAAGAAAAAGTGACAATATGCCTTACGTGTAATGTATAGAAAATCATGTTGTTAATTGCAATATACAGTAATTGACTGAATGTAAAATCTGTCAACAATAAAACTACAATATGCAATACCCAAAACGAATCATAGGAACCCGTACGGGACCCACAAAACTTCAATGAACATTCTACACAAAATGCATGAACGCTAAAAACCAGATGTCGTAACAACATGGACGCATTTACTGATTCCTTACAAAATGCGATAAATTAAAAATTTCCCTCGAGATGTCAATTAAACTGAAAACTCCAATCATTCTGAATAAAACACCTAACAAAAGCCACGCTGTATAACACTAACACTAATAAGTGTCGCTGATGGAACTTCATAAGTTTTTCAACAACAGCAACTGGTAACACGTTTCGCACATTCAGCTTTGTACTAATCCTCGCTAAAAATTAGCAACTCAAGTAAGTCTCGCTAGAGGTATATTAACAGTCGAACGAAGTATTGGCCCTCAATTTAAATTTGACTCCTGCTGAAAAATGGTATCTCCTGTTTTCCAAGACATATACTTAACTTATCATTATCTGTTGGGATTAAAACATCAAAAAGAATTAGCAACTAACCAAAAACAATCATATTACGCTACTCTCTAAAGCAAACTGAACCACGCGTTGTTAGCGACACTTATTAATCGCAATGCTTTGTCAACGAGATAATAATTGTTGGCGTTGCAAAATGGGCTAAACCATTTTTCAACAGGGGTCGGAGTTAAATTTGGGGGCAATTATTCTTGCTTATATTTGCTGGCGAGAGTTAACCGAGTTGACATTTTAGGAGGTGTTTGTGGGACACTTATTACCTGTTACTGATTTAGCGATACTTGTCTTTGCGACACTTATTACGTAAAGCCGCATGGAGCCCTGGATACTTCAATACAAATTCTATATAAAAAGATAGTAGCCAAAAAACCGAAGTTGTAACACATTGGACGCAATTACTGTGAGCAATGATTCTGTAACGTTTAAATACATCACAAAATGCGATACATTTTCCCCTGATAAAAACGCCCGACCATTCTAAAAAAAACAGCGAAATCCGACACTATAAAAACTGGTAAGAAGTGTCGCTGGCGCAGCTATGTAATATGTTTCGCTAAATAGTTTTTATTATTGACTTATCGATGAAAATAAACTTAATGTATCACACTTTCAGATGTTTCGGACGTTGTTAGATCATCAGTCTGAGGTTTTAGGTACCGTGTGACCCCTCAATATAATTTATTTTCTGACACATATCTAAAACAAGTTAGTTTCTGAATATCACACATTTTTGTACACACGTGCATTGCAAAGCCGCTGCCTTGTTCACCATGCATGTATTCCCAAAATGTCTTGCAAGAAATACTTATTCAGAACGATTGGATTCGTTATCTGAAAATTCTAACAATGACAACACGTGGAAGATTTATTGACATCTCAGAATGTCAATTCAAAATCGCGTGACCAACAACAATTATTTAATAATTTAATTTTAGAAAAACGTTTTCGACCTCCATGCGTACGCATAATGAGAGGCTAGCACTTACTGGCAACTGTTGTGAGGTCCAATTCGTCTGTAGTGACAGACTCGGTAACGCCCTCAGTAGTTTCGTATAAGCCAGTGCTACTTATCTTAGTCCCATATGGTGTCGATGTGTCAGGTGTAGTTATTCGAGAAAAGAAAGTCCAAAATGTAGTTGTTTGTGGCAATATGCTTGTAGAATATGCAGAGGATCTTTCATTACTGCCTGTCAGCAAACTAGTCCCGTCTTTGGTTATACTCTTTGGTGTTGTTCGAAGAATCGTACTAGCCGCTTCGGATGGATTAGTACCGGGTTGTGTTTGGGGAACAAGTGTGTTTGGCCAAGTAGTCATTGTCAATTGAATGGGTGTTGACGATGTATTCGGCTCCTTGTTTTGTTCGGTGATGCGGGTAAGTGGTGTTCTAGAAGTAGAACTTGCCTGCTCTGTGCTCAGCGCCGTTAAACTGGGTTGAGTTGTTTGCAAGGTAGACCAGGCTGTTTGAAGGTTTGTCGTTTTCGGCATTGTGGTTTCAGCTATGTCAGTTTGTTGTACATGCATACTCGTTGGAGATGTTAGGGGAGTGAAGGTACTTGGATGAGTAGTCATTGGAGTGGTAAGCCACGTATGTGATATCTTGGGAGTCGTAGTTTCTGCCATGCTAGTTTGCTGTATTGTTATACTGGGAAGAGATGTTTGAGGCATGATAGTACTAGGTTGAGTGGTAAACCACGGACTAGTCAACTTGGGCATTGTGGTTTCGGGCATATCAGTGCGATGAAGAGGTATATTCGTTAAAGTTGTTTTGGTCATGGTACTAGACTGAAAAATCTGAGGGATTGTACTTCTTGGATTAGTTCGTCTAGGCATTGTAGTCTTAGTCATGTCAGTTTGGTGTATAGATATACTTGAAAAAGGAGTTTGAGACATGATGGTACTCGGCTTACCAGTCTGCGGAGTAGTGAGCCAAGGCTGAGACAATGTGGTTTTATGCATGTCAGTTTGGTGTGCAGTGTTTCGATACTGAGTAGTTTCTGTTGTTATTACACTTGGCTGTTGTGTGTGAGATATGAGTGTTCTTTGCATTGTCGTGTGTGTTTTGTTTGTATTAAAGGTGTTCTCTGAAACCAAATTTGATAAAAGATGAATAATTGTGAATATAAATATATTTTTAATAAAACGTTATTAACATTTATTTTTGTTTATGCTTCAAGTTGTTTACATGATATTGACACGTTCGTTTTTTCAAAGACGATTTTTAAACAATCAGATTATTTAAATGTAGCGAAAGGGTTGCTATTCCTAGGCCAATCAAAGGTTAATATGGCTTACCCGCATTCATTTTGTTTATTATTATGGCCTACACATCAGCCAGTCAAAGGTTTATAGAACTTACCCACAATTCAATCGTAAATTATTGTCGCTTTCTCTTAAGCCAGTCTTGTTATAATTTGAACAAATTTGTGTCATAGGCAAAAGCCGTTAATAAGAATCACTTGTTGAGTTTATAGCGTCATTATATGTACCAGACATAAAATGCTGCATTAGATTTACTTGTATGAAAAGGAAGTATTCAGAATGTATGTGCTGAACATAATATTAGATTTGCATTTATGTATCCTGTAATAATCAAATAATAACATTATATCATTAATTTTAATTTGGAAAATAATTCTAAATCACCTGACTGCTACAATATTGTGTTATCATAATATCCAATAGATTTGGTATAAATTCTAGTCATTACAATCTATTATCGTTAAATCGTTATGCGTTACGTATACATTGCAGATTCTGCATCATTCAAGTGGTTTATCTGTTACGATCGACTTACGATCGTGAACGCGAAGTTAAATTCAAATTAGAGCTAGTAGAATTCTTACACATTCAACTCTTTAAATTTTTCGTTAATACCTGGATACATACAATGACGTATCAGCCATATTTCAAATGTGACGGCAAAACACTAAAATAGTATAATCTTTAAGCACTTTAAAATCCACTGTTCTTTTCAACCTTTTCAAAATAAGACCATGAATATAATTGCCCGATGTGTGATTAGTTAGCTCCGAGATATGGTCATTATCTACATCACTCGTTCAACACATTTTTTTTAATTTTGCATTAATGACCTGATTTTTATATATGCATATACATGTGTTTTTACCATTTCTCGCATAATAACTAAGTGTGTTTATACAATGTTAGTCATTCAACTGACTAACATTGATGAACCATAAAATACGTATCAAACAGAAGGTTACTTGATTTCCCATTCTACCGATTACGCAATAACTATCACCCAATTTTGACCGAAAGCCTGGAATGTGCTTATATGTGGTTGTATCCAAGGTACGAAAGTCACACAATACTATAAGGTACTAGTCGTAAAATGTGTTCAGTCCTCTCAGATTCCAGAATATATTACAACCCCAGCTTATTTCTCGCTTTGGATAATTACGCTATGCAATCAACTTTTGATCGACCAGCAAAATAAATTCAAAAATAGAGTTGCAAACTCATGCCCCTTTCTAAATGAAGTTTTATTTAAAATGTACGTCGTCCATCCTCGTCCAACACATACCCATTTTCACGTGAACACGTATAATTGTCGCCCGTCATTGGTGCTACATGTCTGTGAACGTTGGTAAAATCAATGTTTTGCAGCCGAACTATTTGAAATATACCTACCCAAACAATGTATTCCATCATTGTCCAGCCCATATCCATCTTTACATGAACACGTGTAGTTATTTCCACGCATGGCACATACCTGCTCACAAGGACAGTGTCGAATCGCGTTGGTTGTTCCATTAATATTGACACTTTCATTTCCAGCATCTAAAGGTAAAAAAAAATGTCTTAAAGTGTACATCAAAATGTAACTGGTCTGTATAATACACACATTATAGTTCGATTATATATTGTTGCAATATTGTTCAATCTTACCAAGTCCTAAACCAAGACCCAAGGCTACGATGGTGACGACACCTGCTATTGCAACCCCGGCACCAATAGCTATCTTCTTCGATTTGAATGAGCCAAATGCAGACATGAATGTCGTTTTTCCAGAATGATATTCTCTTGTATCGTTATTCTGCAGCTATGTCATAAAGGAAGATTGAATGTCACCATAGAATAATTGTTATTACTCATTAATACACAGTTAATGTGTGAATAGACAATGTGTATAATTTACAAAATATTCTTCTTTTATCAGCCTACATTACTACTTTAGTTTTATTGGAATCGTGTATGTACAGATAGTATAATAACTGCTGCAGTAGAACATATATGAATTTCACGGTTCACTGTATTACGATTTTATTGTTTAACCACCTGACTAAACAATCATTATACCTGTGACATTGATATACTATACTACGACCAGAATTGAGTTATTACAATCAGGGTTGTGGTAGTATGTATGTAAAAAAAACCGTGTTCTGTGTGCGTTTCGCCCAGTAATTTATCGCGTGTCCTAATGTAGTAGGATGCGGGTACATTTGGTGCATAACACAAACATACAGCAAGCTATAACATATGGAGATACATTGACAATCAAATAATATATGTGTAACAGTATGAATAATTCAATGATTTTTAATTAAAATATTAAGACAATTTGGTGTTTCAAAAATTGCTTTCCAGGCAAAAACAACCAACACATATCAGTCAATGCCAAAATTCAGGAAAATGTATTTCTCGTGATGTTGATGGCCAAATTTCATGAAATGTTTTTATTTGATGCGTGCGTTCACATTTGGATTGGATACGTGTTTCGTCAGTCAACTTGAATTTAAAGAAATCTTTAACTAGTTTTAGGATTTTGTTCATTCATTTGTTCAATGTAATCAAGACTTTGAGCGAGTAATATGAAACCTTTCCCCCTTGCAGATTTTGCACATATTTAATACACATATTTAATATTTAAATTGCAGCCAAAGTTAGCTAATTTGCATGCTTATGTATGTTCGTGTATAAATAATACCATACTGTAGACCGGATTATGGTTGCATTTGCAGGATTATCGAATGCCTTTATTCGAACTACTACGAAATACTAGCCATAAACGATTCTGACATATATTCCACCATTTAAAGTAGCACTAGCCAATCACATGGCAATGAATTATAATTTTCGAACATCAAGCCAATCATACAAACTTATTAATACACATTATTATTAAAATTATAATGTCACATATAGGGTTATTTTTATCAACGGCGACATCGGGAGGTTTCTTTCCAAATTTAAAGACGGACAGTTGCATATGTATAAATACGATTTCTGTTACACTTTATTATTAAAGTTCGCACGGAATCAAATACTACCGTTTAGATGAAATCTGCTGACGGCCTATACTAGTATGGCAAATAATATCATTAAAATACACTTACACGTACAGTACTGTCTATGACCATCAAAATACAATTACACGTACAGTACTGTCTATGACCATCAAAATACAATTACACGTACAGTACTGTCTATGACCATCAAAATACACTTACACGTACAGTACTGTCTATGACCATCAAAATACACTTACACGTACAGTACTGTCTATGACCATCAAAATACACTTACACGTACAGTACTGTCTATGACCATCAAAATACACTTACACGTACAGTACTGTCTATGACCATCAAAATACAATTACACGTACAGTACTGTCTATGACCATCAAAATACAATTACACGTGCAGTACTGTCTATGACCATCAAAATACACTTACACGTACAGTACTGTCTATGACCATCAAAATACACTTACACGTACAGTACTGTCTATGACCATCAAAATACAATTACACGTACAGTACTGTCTATGACCATCAAAATACAATTACACGTACAGTACTGTCTATGACCATCAAAATAATCACCACAGAATACTTATGCACAGAAGAATGCGAGGGGAATTCAAATTTGTGTGATAACTGGAAAAATATCAATTGATCAATGCTTCCGAATAGTGTTTATGTATGAGTGAACACATTTATAACGTCAATGTTAACCTCATTTCATTAGCACTATGCAATACAAATCCAAATCCATATGCCTCCATGTTATTTCACAGTGCATATATGTAAACAAAAATGTTGGGAATCCCAATGTGTCCGAAGGTTATAGACTAATTGTAGGATCATAGAATCTTCATATCTTGAAAATGAAGAGCTCAAATGAAGACATTAGGATTGTAAACATTTAGTTATTATAATTCATTCAAATATGCGGGTTTCCTCGTATCTTGTGAATTATATAATATATCTGGCTAATATTTTGAGAATATTTCCTATTTTGTTGTGTACTTAGTTAGACAATCAATAGCATGCACCATATCTCTTGTCATGTGTTGCTCTGAACATTCAGTATTTGTGTGTAATGACTTGTGTGTAATGAAGTGAAACTGTGGTATCAGTGAGGTAGTCGTAAAATGAAATGTGGTCAGTCAACAACTCGGACTCATTACAGTTGAATACACGCATGGTAGAAGCATGTCGTGTATTGGTAAACCTCAAAACGAGGGGTATTTATTTCGAACTCTGTTGTAATTACACACATAACAAATCAGTTTACTTTCTAAATTATTCCTATGTTAATGGTTTGATCAATACTTCGTATCGAATGCAGTTTGTATGTCTTCATTATCTTATAACAGTTTTAGCGCCTAGCATCGTTTTCTGTAATATTTCCATCTTAACGATGCTGTTTACTATTAAACAGACGGACAAGTGTCTTATAATATTATGAAATGTTGGGTAATTGACAATGAGTAAAATAACCCTGTTTTTTTACATTGTCATATATCGGGATAGTGTTAATAACTTACAGTAATGTGTTATATAGTCATCTCATCTTCGACATGTACTCAATAGCTTTCAACATAAACATGGAATACGAGATAGATTAAACGACCTACGGCGTCTGTTCCTGTATTGTCGGTAGAGTTAAATGGGTTTTTCTTATTGTTGCTAATAGCAACGTTTAGTATTATTCACTGCTAATTATTGGTTACTTACATTGCAATTAGCGTTTTTTACGTGATGATTTCTCCAGGTGACATTCGAACTGCACATTTATTTCGCTATGTTACAATCCCCCTGATAGTTGATATCTAAGCACTCGTATACATATAGGCATAAATCCCGCATTCAAGATGAATATATGTAAGTATTGTTTTTACATTAATGACATCAGCGTGTTCTAAGTGATTATGACTAAGACATGGATTGAAATTAGTCCACAATCACGTGTTGAAATTGATCATGTAAAAATGCTATGAATAAAACAAGTACGTACATTGAAATATTTGTCTACCTTCAAACAGCTGTTAGGCGACAGAGTCCATAGCCAGTCACACCTTTATTACGGCGGCTAAACGAAATACATGTAATGCCCACCTAATGCGTATTTTTAGAATTTGTTGTTGGGAATTTGAAAAAAAGATGAACCTAGTGATGCTATTTGTGGACATATATGCTGGCTGAAAGTATTGCTCCACAAATGCGAATTAACTCATAATAAAAAACGGATCACAACAAATTACTGTATATAATCTTTTGGAAAATAGAAGTTATACAGTTATAGGTAAGCGCGTAAAGTCAGAATATTATCACAAAACACGTCGCCAGATATGACTGGATAATATAAACTTAATCACCTAAAACTGATAATTTACTATAACTATAAATTGCAATATACATTCAATATTTTAGAGAAAGATATTGTGAGAGTATGGGTAGTTTGTACATGTACGACATGAATGGGACAGTATTGTTGACATTCACAAACCAGAGCGCAACTACCCGAACTAAAGGACAGATGACCTGTCATGACAGTATCTTGTGTTTTTGATTAGGCACTCGGGTTGGTACCTCAAGTCACTTCTTCGATTGCATGAGATTAACGAGTGAAGTCACATCTGGGCAGTTTTAACCGCCCCTGCTCACGGTGCCAGCAGGCCGTGCCGTGACCTTTCGGTGAATCGTTGCTTTTAAAATCAATAAAATTTCAGAATTAGAAAACAATTAATGTTAAATTCAAAATTATTTAAAAATATAATTTGTTTTTAAAATAATTGTACTTTCCAAGAATTTGCATTCCAACATCCCAAAACGATCACGTGCTAGTTTACCGTAGAGAAAATAAAATAAAATTTTAGAATTCGACAACAAATACTGTTAAAATTATATGGTTTTAAAAATATCTAAATTTACCACGAATTTGCATTCCAACATTCAGATACGATCACCTTAAATGAACTACATGCAAATACCTACGTCTACCCACTTTGCTGGTAGCAGCCTACGTGTTAATAGGTTACAAACACAGCATTTAAGATGTATATAATCTTGTGATTATCGTGTTTTAGTACTTTGTTTAGTAAATTGTTTTTCATTTCATCGAAGACTATATATCTCAGTGTTAAAGAAATGATTACTGTTTAACATGCTAATACACATATTTACCAGTCCTTGTATATTTCACAGACAACACGTTTTCCGTTCAGATATTGCGTTTTGTCATGTGTTACACTACTGGAAATACGCCTGCGACAGAAATTCTGATTGGGAGGGGCGATTTCATAGGCATCTTTCGAATGTTGTTCATTGTGACGTCAGAAGTTGGACATGCACAGGCCTGTGTATGTATTACACGCTGTTACGAGTCGTTTGTTTTTTTGGACGATTTGGTTGGTCAAGTAAAGTGCGTGTCTTTTTTCAATGGTGATACGATAAAAGAATACTAGTTGAATGATTCTTCACTGGATGGTATGATTTATTGAATACGTATGTTGTAAATGTTAATACCCGTTCAAATTGCATGTTCATATTAAAATCTTATTAACGTGGTGTTTTGTATTAGGGGTTCAACTCACTTTCACAATGTTATTATTTTTTGATAATAAAATAACCTCTCTTTACAATACTAGTATCTCCGTTGTCCAAACTCGCAGTTTTCCCGATCTACACTGTTCACTACGTGACTGCAATCTGTAATTCACAGCGTACAATAAGAACCAAACACGCAGTGCTGGATTACTTGTTTAGACCAAATAAACACATTACAAAGGTATATTTCTTAGACATTCCC